TAGTAATTAAATAATTTTAACTGTTTTTAAAAATTAAAATGCAAAGGCAGACGTGTTGTCTGGTTGGTTGCTTATAATCGAATGATATTTACATTCGATGATATTAAAATTCATCAACGACCAGGGCAAAGAATTCTACAACAACCACTTTAAGCGGTTAATGTCGGATTTTAAAATTAATCATTTTTCAACGTATAGCGTTATGAGAGCGTCGATGGTTGAACGCGTAATTCGAACCGTTAAACAGAGGATATACAAGTTCTTCAGTCTATATGGAAATCATAAATGGGTGCACCTATTAAAAGATATAACATCTCGATATAACAGTACGAAACATTCGACTACGAAAATGAAGCCATCGGAAATAAATTCGAAATCCGTAGAGAAAACACTTCTCGATACGGTGTACAATCATATTAAAATTGCTGGCAGAGGAAAGTTTAGAGTTGGAGATACCGTTCGTATCAGTAAATATAAACATGTGTTTGATAAAGGATATCTACCCAACTGGACCGCTGAATTGTTTAAAATCGTTAAAGTGAAAATAACAGATCCAATTTCATATTTATTGGAGGACGTGCGTGGCCAGCCGATTAAAGGCGCTTTTTACGAATTCGAACTTCAAAGGACCGCTCAACCCAACGTTTACCTCGTTGAAAAGGTGTTGAAAAGGAAGAAGGATAAGTTGTACGTAAAATGGTTAGGATTCGATTCATCCCATAATTCTTGGATATCAAATAAAGATATATCATAAAATTTCTCTATATCGTTGTGAATTATTTTTTAAATAAAATTTAATTTTTAAACATCTATTTTATGGAATTTTACTCGAGTTTCTTTTTCCTTAAGTAACCACATTTGATAAGGGTTTGCTGCATAAGAACGTTGCAGCCAAGTTCTTTCCTTAGGAAAACAAACACTTGATAAGGGTATACTGTAAAGGGTATAAAGCCTTATGCAATACCGTTTTACCGCATTTTCTCTTATACANGTCGAAGGTGAAGATAACGTCGATAGATTGGAATCATGTTTTAAAGGTAGAGTTTGCACCTATAGAGTCGCAGACGTGTTGGTCGATGATGATATATCATCGTTCCTAACAAGATCAGAAGGAGCTGTTAAACGAATGATTGAGGTTAGTTTAGATCGCTGTGGTCCCTCTATAAAGGTTCAGATTGAGTTTTTTGCGAATTATGTTAAAGCCGCGTATGATGAAAATGGGGATGAAGACGTATTAATGTCCGAGAAAAATTTTAATTGTAAATTTCAAGTTGTTTCGGTGGGTACGGATTTGCATGAGGTGTATGTTGGGATGTGTAGGGAAATTTTAGCTCAAAGCGAAGAATTTCAAGAACGCGACTCTGGGTGGGCCTTCTTCTCCGTATCTCACCTCCTGCTTAATATTAATAAATTTGAACCTATACCCGAGTCATCGTATATACGTTTACCTCAGGTAATTGCTGAAAAACATGCGTGCGTAAATATTAAAAACTATGAGGACGATGCTTGTTTAGCGTGGTGTTTGACGGCGGCTCTTCATCCTACCAACCTCCATCAAGATCGTACTACAAGCTACCCTCATTATAGTCAAGTACTTAATTTGCGCGGGATTACATTTCCAATAACTTTAAAAGATATCGTTAATGTAGAAAAATTAAATAATTTAAGTATTAATGTTTACGAATTGATAAGTAGTAGTAGTAGTAGTGGTAAATACACGGTGGAAGGACCAATTTATTTTACCAAACAAAGACGTGATATTCATATAAATTTGCTTTATTTATATGAAAACGGGAAAGGGCGTTTTGTTTTAATTAAACATCTTTCTAGATTAATTTCATGTCAATGTACGAATCGTAACGGCTCTATACATCTTTGCGATGGGTGTTTAACGCGGTTGTCATCGGCAGACAAGTTACTCGCACATCAGACTTATGATTGTAATCATGTGATGACCGTTTTACCTACAGCCGATTTAAAATCTAAACCAAACTTTTTCGGTTTAAAAACTCCGCAAAATATTTTAGAATTTAACAATTATAAATTCGCTCAGATGGCTCCCTTTGTCATCTACGCTGACTTTGAATCGCTTTTAAAACCGATCGATTATTGTAAGCAGAGTAGCGCTAAATCTTTTACGGAAAAAATTGAGGAACATCAACCGTACAGTTTTGCTTATTACATTGTTTCCACGATTGATAGCAGTTTAAATAAATTTGAAACATATACGGGACTTGATGCATCACAAGTTTTTATCACAAAATTAATCGGTGATGTTAAATTTATTTATAATAAATACTTGAAAACCGTAAAACCAATGATACTTTTAACAACCGATGAGCAACGTAATTTCGATTCGGCTGAAAATTGTTTTATTTGTCAAAATCCTTTTACTTCTGACCAGGTTAAGGTTCGTGATCATTGTCATATTAGCGGTAAATACCGAGGACCCGCGCATACAAATTGTAATCTAAATTTCAAACTTCAAAATTTTATTCCAATATCCTTTCATAATTTTAGCGGTTACGATTGTCATTTATTTATTAAAGAAATGGGTGATGTAGACAAAGATGGGCTTGATGTGTTACCTAATAATAAAGAGTGATACATTAGTTTTAGTAAAAGAGTGTTGGTTGATAAGGTAATTAGCGAAGACAAATCTGTTGAAAATATCTTTTTTAAATTAAGATTTATGGATTCATTTAGATTTATGGCATCTTCATTAGATTCTTTAGCCGGCAACCTCGAAATATATGACTTTAACAATATACGTAAATTCTTTCCACACCCGGAACATTTTAAATTGTTAACGAAAAAGGGTATATTTCCCTATAATTATATAACCTCTTTCGATAAACTAAATGATACATCACTACCACCTAAGAGCATGTTTTACAACAAATTAAATTTAGAAGATATAAGCGATGAGCAATATTTGCACGCTCAACGTGCGTAGGAAAAATTTAATTGTCAAAATTTGAAACAATATTCCGACTTGTACAGGCTGGTTCAAATTCGATGTCCGAATAGGCTAACTCGGAAACTATAAGAGTTAGACAAAAAGTAGCTTACATGTCATGATCTCGTTTTTCGAGAAACTGCTAATGCCGAAAACCTCATAGCGCTATCGTCTTTTGTTTTTCCCCTAGAGGCCAAAATTGGANCAACCCCTGTTCAACCGGTTCAACCCCTGTTCAACAGCCCTGATCAACCGACCGGTTCAACAGCCCTGTTCAACCGACCGGTTCAACCCCTGTTCAACAGATGGGGTTGAAAGATTCTAATGGAGCGATTATACATCAGTTAATAATCGCATATAACAGTCATTCAAACGCGGAATTAGTATTAGAAATAGATTTAAGAAAAGTTATTAATACTATAAACACTAATTTTAATTTCATTAATTCAGACGTAAGATTTAGCAACCAAAGTGCAGAATTAATTTTTAAATTACATAATGAAATACGCGATAAATTGGAAATTTTGAGTTTAAAAGAAAGAAATAAAAGAGCACTAATAAATATAGCAGGGAAATTAATAAAAGCCATTACAGGCAACCTTGATGATTCAGATGCAGAAAGGTATGACAATTTGATAACAAAATTAGATAAAAATCAAGAAAAACTTGATCATAGTTTACATTATTTGGCAAAATTAGTAAATAAAACTAATATTCAAGTTCAAAATAATTTCGATCTGATTATAAATAAAATCAAAAGATTAGACGATAAATTAGGGTTATTATGGCTCGATAAAAATGTAAATGAAATTATTGAATGCTACGAAATGACAGCAAGAAATTTGAACGAACTTATAGACGTATTAAATTATGCGAAAAGGGGAATTGTACACCCTCTATTAATAACTCCTTCAAAATTGATAGAAAAAATGAAATTAATACACTTGGATGATAACCATAAATTTCCTTTCGATTTATTACTAGAACAAGTTGATATAATTGACAGAATAACGGAAGTAAAAGCATATAAAAAGAACGATAAATACACGATCATTTTACAGATACCTTTGATAAGTAATGAAATATTTCAGTATTACGAAATTCATCCATTGCCAACTATTGTCAATGATACCTTAATTCAAATTGAAAATCAATTTAAGTTTATAGAACAGTATTTGTGTAAACAACAGATTGAAAGTAAAAATTTACAAAGTTGCGAATATCAGTTAGTAGTCAGAAATATTGTAAATGAAAATTGTAAATTAATAAATTTAATGATAGTAGATTTTGAAATAATTGAATATGAATTTGGTACGGTAATTGTATTAATTAAAGAAACAGAAATGTCAGAAATTTGTAATAAAATGATAAAAATTCATAAATTAAAAGGCACTTATTTAATTAATCGAAAAAATCAATGTATTTTTAAGATAGCTGATATTATGATTCGTAATTTTTATACTGTCAGTATGGATACGCCATCAATATCAATACCAATTATAAATAAGAATGTATTAAATATAACATTTGATGAAAATAAATTAAAATTGGAGAATCTTACATTTGTTAACAGTAATAATTTAGAAAAATTGAATTCTATTAAAAATTTTGGCGAAACCCATAGTTATATACTTTATATAATTATTGTTATAATTGTTTTCGTACTAATTGTGTATTTCATGAAAAAGTTCTTTAAAAGCAAAAATGTTAAAGTTAAGAGAATCCGGGAGGATCCTCAATCTAGCCAAGGAGGAGTTACATTCGCCAATCCTGTAGGGTTGCAATAAAATAAGAAGTAGGAGTTAGAGATAAGCAGCTTCTATATAATTAGATGCACCACTACAATTAATCAAGTCTACTTTTAATCGCTGTACCGTGCGCGTCGGGTCATATGTTAATTTTTTTTAAAGTTGTTTTGATTTAATTTGATTTTAAATAAAAATAAACTCTTTTTAAAAACCTTAACCGCTCGACACGATTTGAAACTTGCTATGCAACAGGTTTTTAAAAAAAATTCATTGAGTCTTCTCAAGACATTCGCACAGATCACGCGTGAATAACTAGTTCAGTGATCTAATTTTAGTGCTACAACCAAATATTTTGTTTTTGTACATACCTTATCTACTCCCCTAACTCAGGGACTGTGAATGGAAACAATAACATCGAAAGGTTCAGAGGCTTCGGCCTCTGAATCCGACCAGCACGGCGAGTCTAGTAGTGGTAACAAAAAACGGGGTCGTCCGAAAAAACACTCACACACGGATCGTCCGTTTAAGAAACAAAACACTAGCGGTAGTGACTCCATTTTCAAAATTCCCAAACTCGCAAACACCAAACTCGGATAAACGCCCTCCACGTGCATCAACCACAAACCAGTTCACCGAACGGCCTCTCAAATATCAACAAAAAACCAAAATATACAATAACGTATTTTTCGTAAAACCATCTGTCTCACTGAGCAGAATTGAATTGTCCGAAATTTGGACGAAAAACTCGTTTAACCTTCGCGACGTAATTATTAAAACACAGCAGGGTTTCATAATTAAATCGGCAACAATAAAACACAGCAAATCACTTATCTTACTCTCCTAAAAGACCAAAATATAATCGCAGAGTTGTCTGAAGCAAAGAATCTCATTCCTTCTACTAAAAAAATACCTTCGGTCTCGTATTCGGCCGTTATCACATCCGTCGATCTGGAAATTGGAGACCAAGAAATTAGCGACGAACTGAATTCACAGAAACTATCGTATAGATTCTGCAAAAGAATAATTTCAAAAGCCACTAACAATCCAACCTATAAGATTAGAATAATCACAGGATGCGTTGATTCGTACCAAAGGCTACTCCAAGAGGGTTTTTTTTTATAAAAACTGTCATTTCCCAGTTTACGAGAGCCGTCCTCCACCACCAATTCCAATTCCATGCAGTAAATGCCATGATTTTGCTCACACCACCGATAAATGTAATGTTCCAGTAAAGTGCTCCAAATGCTTGGGTCCGCACAGCACCACCAAATGTACCTTCCAACTACCAGAGAAGTGTAGGTCCTGTGGCATTGAAGGCCACAGTGCCTGGTCTATGATATGCAAAAAGCGACCCAAAGCACCTATACAAGGCGTCCCCAATGTTAGAATTAAATCGGCTAACAAAAAATCAGACGAAATCATGAATAAAACCACCAAAGAAAGCCGCATTCATAATCCTGTTACGATCCATGATCAAATTATCGACACTTATCTCACAAAAATCAACTCTCCCAAGCCGCGGGATCGACAAGAGCTTTTAAATGCCCTAAAACGTAGATTCATTGAGCATCATCAAATTGACACAATCGTTGCTTTTTCGGGAAGCTACATGTAATAATTACATGTAGCTTCCCGAAAAAGCAGGGTATGGGGAAAGAACAAGGTATGTCACATTTTTACATATTTTGACTTTACAACGGCATCTACTTGATTGTTGCGCTATTTACCACTGAGTAAATTGTGTGGGGAAAGAAGTGGGTAGATGCTTAGTTATTTTAAAATTTAGAATCCATGGAGGGGAACATAACAAGGAATGTCCGCGCGCATGCGGAAAGAACAAGGAATGTCCTTCTTGCCGGCGGTGTTTACGTTTCTGTTTGTCGGTTAGACGACGGCGTGCTTATACGTCAGTTGTGTTTATGTTTTCACTGTAGAACAACTACCTGCTTAAACGTTAAAAAACGTAATAATCTATTGACCATGCCACCTATTAGGCGCTTTGAATCTGGCATAAGTGAAAGTAGTGAATGTGACATTCGTGAGGATAATTTGTATAAGAAACGAAAGAAGACGGGGCGAGTGTCGGAGGTTATGAAAAAACTGAGGCTTCAGACACATGAAGAAGGTAAACCTTGCCAATGTAAACGCTTGAAATGCTATGAAAAAACTACACCTGAAGAAAGAAAATACATACTGCAAAATTTCAATCATTTAGAAGCACACAATGCTCAAAACGCTTATCTGTGCGGTTTAATAACTATTATTCCTGTGCAACCTCACCGTAGTAGAAAACCAGAAAATGCAAATTTTCACCAAGCATCATTTGCGTACAAATTAAGGGTGCATCGAAATGATTCTTCTGAGGATATTGGAGTGTGTGCTGCAGCTTTCCGAGCAGTCCATGGCATAACCAAAGGGAAACTAGAGTACCTGCAGAAATCTCTGAAAGACACTGGCATTGCACCTCAAGATCAACGAGGGAAACATAGTGTCAATCATCGAAAACTAAAAGAGGAATATTTTGAGGCTGTTTGGGGACATATAAATTCATTTAGAGCAAGACAATCTCACTATAGTCTAACGGATAAAAAAAAAAATATCTTCCGGAAGAATTAAACATTACGAAAATGTTTAGAATGTTTCAACAAAAGAATCCCAATGTCAACGTTTCATATGATACATACAAACATATATTTAATACAAAATTCAATTTGTCATTCGGGTATCCAAGAACAGATACCTGTTCTACATGCGATAAGTTTCATGCCATATTAAGAACATTATCCACCGATAGCAATGCTGACGAAATCAAACAGCTCACCTTGGCCAATGAAATACACAAAAGAAAGGCTCAAACTTTTTATGATCGAAAAAAGAATGCTCGCCTAAATGCAAAACGACGACCTGATTTTCTTGCAATTGCGATGGACTTCCAGAAGAACATATCATTACCAAAAGTCTCCACGAATGTACGTCATTCGTACTATCGAAGACAATTGTCAATGTTTTCGTTCAATATTCACGTTTTGCACTCAGGAGAATCTATTTTCTACACGTATCCAGAGACCATCTCGAAGAAAAGCCCCAATGAAGTTGTATTCTTTTTAGTACATTTTTTATTTAACCATGTTCCTGATACAGCAAAGCATTTGCACATTTTTTGTGACGGTGCCGGTGGGCAAAACAAAAATTTTATTGTATTCAGGTTCATGCATTATGTAGTACATGACATAAAAAAACTAAGCAGCATTAAAATAACTTTTCCGGAAAGGGGGCATTCATATTTGGAATGCGACAAAAATATGGGCAACATAAATTTAAAAACGAAAATTGAAACTCCAGATGATTGGTTTGAACTGTTAAGGGTATCACGCACCAAACCGTCGTCATTCGTTATCGAAGAAGTCACTCAAAATATGGTAATGGGCTGGACTTCGTTTTTACAGAACCTGTATGTGAAGAAATGTCCATTTCCTGTACAAAAAACCAAAGAAGTGTTCTGTACAATCGATCATTGTCGATTTATACTTAACAGAGATACATACAATGGTTCTTGGAAAAAAAGTGTAATAAAGGGAAAAATTCAGATGGAAGCAGCCACTTTACTGCCAAATGAATTCAAATTACCAGATAAACTATACAATGGTGAGCATGCATAAAACTGACTTGTATGACCGGTAAATACATATTTTTTATAAACATATTTTTAATAGGATAGCGACCAAGCAAAAAATAAAATTTATACTAATTTTTCTCTTACGAAATTCAAATTTGGAAACCACAGATGGACAAAGCTGCATCTACGATACCAACCCATCTGTGATTTCCTAATTTGAAGTTCGTAAGAGAAAAAATGATATAAATTTTATTTTTTGATTGGTCGCTGTCCTATTAAAAATATGTTTGTATATTCACGACCATGAATGTCGATAAACGTTCACATTTTTTATATTCGTTGCAGATCTTATTCCAGTAAATAAAGATAAGTTTAAGGATTTAATGGTGCTGAAGCAATTCTGTGGCCCAGTTGCTGTCAAGTTTTTTACCGATCTACCGCATGAATAGGGGACATTCCTCGTTTTTTTCACATTTGTAATACCTTCGAATTAGTTTTATTTTATTATCAGATACACTGACGAAAAATATTTGTATTTACATGTTGAGACATACAATAAACATATAGTAAGATTTATTTAAATTATTTGTGGTTACTGCAAAACCAAAACGCTAAGTAGTTTGCGTAATTAACTTTAACATTCAAGTTACTCCGTTGTTAGTCTAAAGGACATACCTTGTTCTTTCCCCATACCCTTCGTATATAATCATGATTGACCTAAAAGACGCAAATAAACCTTCACCCACCGAACCGATCCACGGCACCCAAACCATGATTTTGCAAGATCAGCAATGACTGAGATAAAGTTACTGTATGCAAACATTAACAGCTATGTCCCAAAAAAACACCTAATTGGAAACTATATTTCTGTAAACGGCATTCACGGTGCGATGTTCGTTGAAACTGAAGCCAAATCGCTAATTAACTTCAGGGATTGGACAATGATCCAAGAATTGGGAAATATTGTGAACACCCCGTCAGAGGCGAGCGGTGGTTATGGGCGATCCTGCATTACAAATTGGAAAAGCTAATCCTCCCAGAATAAATTCTCCACTAAACAACGCCTTCCATTTTACTTTTATGATTGGCACAGAAAGAGTACATATATTGTTGGCTTATATACATCCTTTTAGTAAGATAGAAGAAAACAATTTGTGACTATGTCAAATTTTGTGCGCATCGCAACACCCCCGACGTTTGTCATGGCAAATAATCCCAACTCCAAGCCTGATTTAATCTTCTGCACAAACAACGTAAGACCGCTCATCTCGCCTGTTAATGTCCTCCCTGATCTCTGCTCTGACCATCTGGGTCTTGTAATCTGCATTAATACAACCACTCGAATACCTAAAGTAGCTCCTACATTTTCAGAAAAGAAATACTGTGACATATCTGCAGCAAAATGGTAAGCATTTGAATCACTTATGTCCCGTCCTTTAATAACTTCTTTTTTCGTTTCAGCTTTATTGTTCTTGTTACGCAATTTTAATAATTGGGCATAATGATCGGACACGTGAAGATTCAACGTTTCTCTGTCGTATTGTTCTTCGTTCCAATTGGTAATGATGATGTCAATACATGACTTAGTTGTTGCAGTTTCTCTTGATGTCTCATGAAAGACACAATGTAAATTGTGACTTTGTAATAAATCTTGTTATAAAATCACTTCGTAGTTTTTATACGCCTGTACATTAATATTGAAGTCACCTAGAATGAATACCTTCTTAATTAGCATTTCTTCTTCTATATTGCGTAGTAAATCCTGAAATCTTTCGAAGAATACCCTAGAATTGCCGCTTAGAGGGCGACATATACCAATAATATTGATTTTTTTGTGATTCAATGGCAGATATCTCAATATGTTTCTCTATTGACAAGACGCTTAGATCCGGCCTCTCAATAAACTTTTTGCCGTCTTTTACCAAAATTAGACATCCTCCCCGGATGACACCTGACTGGCAGAATGCCGACTCAACTCTATAATTGGTGAAATTGACGTGACGTAATTCTTCATCGTTTAACCAATGTTCCGTAATAATAACATATTCTACATCCGTACTATTTAGAATGTTGAGAGAAATTTAGAAATGTTAATGTTGAGTAGCTGCACCATAGGCTGAACACTCTGTATGCTGGTCTCAATAAGTTTTCCATGAATTATAACTTTTGGGTTATATTGGATGCGTTTTCCTGTAAATTCGTTCTAAAAAACGAGTTATTCGAACTCCCACTGGCCAAAAGTCCGGTTGTGTATGATCATATTCATATTATTCATATTCATGAATCATAGTCATCGGGTCTTCTAGAGCAAAACTTTTCATATTTTGCATTTTCAACTTTTTTATTTTTTACGTATCTAACCAGTACGTCCTCTGTGGTAGTAGGTTGTAGACCACATATATGCAGATGGGATTTAACTCCCTTCAGTTCAGTATCAGTTGCGATTCCTTATCCAGTTGCATTATCCTTCGAGGCATACTTCGAATCAGGTTTTGAATTTCATTTTGGAGAATCTGGTTCCACTCTTCTTCTAGCGCTATTCGGAGATCATACTATAGCGTTTGTATAGTGGCACTACAGGCTCTAACTCGTCTCCCTAGCATACCCCACATATGTTCTATGGGGTTTAAATCAGGGTTACGTGCAGGCCATTCCATTCTGCTGATATCCAAATCATCCAAGTATTGAGATACTATGAGGGCTGTATAGGAGCTCGTGCTAGAACATGAAGTTGTCACCAATAAATGGGCCGAACGGAATCACGTGATCAGATTCTTCAATATACCGTGCCGCGTTTAGATTGCTGTTGATAAAGGAAAGCTTCGTACGTGCTTCGATGCAAATTCCTTCCCAAAACCATTACAGAACCTCCTTGGTATTCTACTCTTTCAAAGAAGTTGCACTGAGCATAACGCCCTCTTGCTCTTCCCTAAACTCTCTCTCGACTATTTGGAAAGTACAAGCCGAACCTCGACTCGTCTGAGAACAGTACGTTTCGACACTCTGCATTGAACATGATCTCGTGCAAATTGTAAGCAAATTGCAAAACTTAAAACTTTTCTTGAAGCGTATAGTTATAAACAGGTTATAAACACTCCTACTAGAGTCTTTTCTTCTACTTTTTCCTTAATAGATTTAATCATAATTCCTGAACGAATATCGCTTATCGATAACTCTGGCACTGTTGATTTAATACACTCTGTCGATGGCAGTTGAATGTGAAACTTATAAAATATTTAGAACACTCAAGGATTATTCGAGCTTTAAACAAGAAGATTTTGATAATGATTTGCCTTCCATTGATTGGCATTTTTTCAATACACATTTACTTTATATGTTTGATAAACATGTGCCAGAGAAGATTATTAAAATCTCGCAATCAAGTGCAGCTTGACTAGCTTCGTTGTTAGGACTATGATGGATTTAAGGGATAAAGTCACTAAGACACAAGAAGATTGGGAATACTACAAATCGCTAACGAATTATGTTACATCTGCGATACGTAGGGAACGGAGGGATTACATAAATACTATTTTTCAAAATAAAAATACTCGCGATTTATGGAAAACATATAATAAGTTGGGCATTGAGCGTAAGCATAGACTTTTTGTTCCTGAACGTTTATGTGATGCAGATGAATTCAGTAATTATTTCTTGAACAATTCAAATAATAACATTGATCATAATTTATTACAATATTATAACAACATTTTACACTTTACGAAATTTTAAAAAATTGTTTGCTTTTCATACTGTAATACGGAGTGTTTCCTTTGCACTTGCAGCAACATGCTTATATCAAAGGTTAATCTGTGGATAGCGCCCTACACATGGTAGTGGGGCACTCTCACCGCTTCTCTGATGCTTAATAGTTGATGATCTCATTCGTGAGTTAAGCAATAAATATCTCTTCACAGTTCGTTACACCGATGACGTGGCTAACTTGTTAAGACGTGAACCTGACAATTTTCTTTATTACAGAATGCAGCAGGCGCTTTTACTTGTTGAACGATGGTGTGAAGAAGTGTCTATTCTTATTGGATATGATTACGCATATCATTAATTCATGTCTCTTGGAAGCCGTTTTCCCTGAGTATTGGAAGGTTTCTACAGTCACTTTATTACCAAAAGTTAACTGATTTTAGACCTATAAGCATATTACCTGCTCTTTCTAAAGCACTAAAAAAAATAGTTTTTTCTCAGTTACGTGAACACCTATTGCTGTATAACATCATACCTGATAACCAGTCAGGGTTTAGACCGGGTTAGAACCGCGTATATCCTGAGAGATGGATAGGAAGATCTGGTCCAGTGCGTTGGCCAGCTAAGTCACCAGACTTAAGCTGCCTGGATTTCTTTTTATGGGGCACAATCAAGAACATTGTATACGGTACTCTCACAAACAACGTAGAACATCTTAAACAAAAAATTCGTGATGCTTGTAATACGATAAGTTGTGATACTCTTAGAAAAGTTACTCATAATGAAGTGAGAAGCCGGTTTCAGCACTGTTTGGCGGCGAATGGCGGTCAGCTTGAGCACAGTTTGTAGGTGCAACATATTATGTTTCTGTTGTTTTGATTTATTAAAATCAAAATTTATTGTTTTAAGTTTTAAAAAAATTT